GGGGGGGGAGGGGGGGCGAGATATGTGTGAGTGTTGGTGTGAGTGTGTATATGTTTGTAAGAGTGGTTAGAACTCTATTTGTGATTTCACAGTGAGATCTCTCTCTCTGGCGTGTAAGAGAGAAAGAGAGAGAGAGAGAGAGAGAGAGAGAGAAAGAGAGAGAGAGAGAGAGGGGGGGGAGGGGGGGCGAGATATGTGTGAGTGTTGGTGTGAATGTGTATATGTTTGTAAGAGTGGTTAAAACTCTATTTGTGATTTCACAGTCAGATCTCTCCCTTTGGCGTGTTAACAAAGAGCTAATCGAATGACTGAATGTGTCTCAGATGCTTAGAATGTGGCATATTTTCTGTAGTAAAACAAGCAACCACAGCTGTTGATGTGAAAACTGATGCCATTTTGGGGAAAGGACGGGCCAATTATACACAGAAGCAAGTCTAAAGTTTGGGGGGTCGGGGGGGGGTCATGCACATATTGCGTAAAGGCCAATGTATGTCATATGTTAGCCCGCTATTTTACCCCCTTTTTGATTTCCTTTATTATGATATCCTACAAAACACACATACAGATAAACATAATGGAACATTTCCAGGTTTGGTACTAAAAACTTTTTGACTCGTCTATTGAAAAGATGAAATCAACCCCTACGCGTACAAATCTGTCCAAGAGTATGTGTGTGTTTCAATCGCGGAGCTCATACAATACTTTTTAAGGAGATTAATTGTTGTCATTGCAAGAGCACGTCATAGATGACTGCGATCTTCAGGCCCGTGTGTCACCAAGCTTCACATGTATGGCAGCATTTCAGGCCGGTCTGTCACCAAGCTTAGCATATATGGCGCAAGAGTTTTAATAAAACTAAATTAATGTCGAAGTTTGAAAAAAAAGCATGTTTGTGTATTTTACCTTACCATTAGATGGAAATAATAAATATAGTTGTAATATACAGTAATAAAATTAGGTTGTGAGCACAAAACGGTTGTGAACTTGAAAATTAAATATTAAATGCGCACGTTTTGAACCGAGGGACAGTATGCTTCTTTGTTCACCTACCCCTTCTCACCCCAACCCCACTACCCCCACCAAAACAACCACGAGATCGAAACAAAATTAAACATGGACCCTTCAAACGTTATAAAATTATTTAAGCTTTAACTATATTTAAAATTTAATGTAACAATTTAAAAGTAAAAACTGACAGCATTTAGATCATTGTGGGGGCACATATCTGCTCTGTGTCTAACGGGACCATTGGGCACATATCTGCTCTGTGTCTAGCGGGACCATTGGGCACATGTCTGCTCTGTGTCTAACGGGACCATTGGGCACATGTCTGCTCTGTGTCTAACGGGACCATTGGGCACATGTCTGCTCTGTGTCTAGCGGGACCATTGGGCACATGTCTGCTCTGTGTCTAACGGGACCATTGGGCACATGTCTGCTCTGTGTCTAGCGGGACCATTGGGCACAAAGTCTGTTCTGTTTTTGTCTAAAATGACCAATGGGCAGATATCTGCTCTGTCTGTGTCTAGCGTGACCATTGGGCAGATATCTTCTGTGTCTGTGTCTAGCGTGACAATTGGGCAGATATCTTCTGTGTTTGTGTCTAATGGGACCATTAGGCAGATATCTGCTCTGTTTGTGTCTAGCGTGACCATTGGGCAGATATCTGCTTTGTTTGCGTCTAACGTGACCAATCGCAACGACGTCTTTTGTTTTTCAACAAAATAGTTGAACGTCAGGAACAAATGTTATATTCCATTTCTGGTTATTGCCCTTGATAAAAGAGTGACTAAACCACTTCTAGGTGCCGACAAAACGGGCATCGTGTTGGGAAAATCTTCCATAAAGGGAACCAATGAGGAAACGTATAATTTTTATACTATGCTTTTTTCAAAAGTGTGGACAATTTAAATATCAAAATGTAACCATAGGCAAAGCAATAAAGTTCATAGTTTATTGGTCAGTCTTTTAAACTAAAACACAAACTTCATTGGGAGAGGAAGGGAAGTCCTAAGAGGAATAGCTTTACATGTTTAAATAGTGTTCAAATTGTCCTCGTACATTCAATATGAACATTTTCATCATGCATTCAACAATGACATCTAGAATAATCTAGATCATACATTCAGCATGAACATTGTCATAATACATATATTCAGCAAGAACATTGTCATAATGCATATATTCAGCAAGAACATTGTCATAATGCATATATTCAGCAAGAACATTGTCATAATGCATATATTCAGCAAGAACATTGTCATAATCCATTCAGCAAGAACACATTTTTTACTTTGCATTCAAGGTGAGCTGTTTATTTTTACAAAGGGTAACAGATGGAAACTAGTTTTTGAATAACAGTAAAAGATACATGAACAATTCTGGCTAGTGAGACTTTGGGATTCGTTCTTAGCTATTCTACGAAAGTGGCGATTGAGATATCCACCGAGATATTGTCTACTCGATTTGTCGAGTAATTTTTCGGCAACATGTCAAATTGACGGGCAATGGAGATAGATGCTCATATTTAAATCATTGTACGTGCAAGGGTGTGACGTCGACATAAGGATTCTGTTTAAATAACTGGAAGTCGCGACACTTAAGATGTTAGAAATGAATTGGACATTCATGTATTACATAATGGCTGTACATGTTGTACACATAAGCTGTACATCCTAATGGCAATAAATTTTTTACATAAGCTGTACAACTGAGGGGTAATACAAGTTGTACACACGAGTTGATTTCTTTATTAGCCATGAGCCTTGAGATTAGGGGCCGGATGAAAAGTTATTTATAACTAGAGGTGGACCTTGCGTTATAAACATATTGACCATGACTTCTCAATGAGGCACACTCTTGAATGCATCTGAACGCAACATCTTATTTCAGGAATTCAATTTTTAAACAAAAAAATTGTATTGGCCAATATATATATATATATTTGTTCTAGAGACCTGGAAATTCGATGTTGCAGGCATATTCTGTCTTTAAAACTGCTTCACAGCATATTATAGTAACCTTTAGTGATTAGCTCATAATATTTTACACATCAAAGTTAAAATAAATTCTTCTGTTTAAGCTTTAAAGAGTCGTGTTTTAGCCTTATAACAACTGATCGGCGACGAAATGAGACACCTAGGCTGGCTTTTTCAGTTAGAAGCTTTGGTTTTCCACTTCTCACGTTCAAAATTAAATCGCTGACAGAGCCTCGTATTTTTTTTTCAATTGAAAGATCAAAAACAAATGAAATGCCAATCGTGGTTTAAAAAAAAATAAATAATAACGGTACACGTTTTTAAAGAGGTCATTGGGTCAACCTGGCCGAAGACATCACTTGCCGGGTTAATTTAAATGCTGTTGATCAGACCTGCACAACGTATGGTCCGCCAGAACCCGCCAGAACCCTCTCTGCGGTCACCAAATCCATTTTTAAAAAGGCAAAGTATTACAAATTTAAAAGTAAAAAAAAAAAATATTTCCTGGATTTCTAAAATTACATTCATTTTAAATGAAACAAAATATTCGTTTTTTTTTTAAAAATATTTATTTCGTAGCTTCACTTTCCCACAAGTCATATTTTCTTGCTTGTCAATGGCGGCAATGTGAGTATTAATTTGGTTAAATTAAAAAATATAACAAATGTTTAGATTTCTTACGGTAACCAAATCCATTTTTAAAAAGGCAAAGTATTACAAATTTAAAAGTTAAAAAAAAAAATATTTCCTGGATTTCTAAAATTACATTCATTTTAAATGAAACAAAATATTCGTTTTTTTTTTAAAAATATTTATTTCGTAGCTTCACTTTCCCACAAGTCATATTTTCTTGCGTGTCAATGGCGGCAATGTGAGTATTAATGTGGTTAAATTAAAAAATATAACAAATGTTTAGATTTCTTTACGTCTAATTTTGCATGGTCAAAACGTAAATTAAGAAATGATGACGAAAAAAACAACAACAAACAACCAGCAAGCAGTTAATGAATGACTTGTAACAATACAATGACTTGTAACAATACAATGACTTGTAACAATACAATGTCTTGTAAGAATACAATGTCTTGTAACAATAACATGTCTTGTAACAATACAATGTCTTGTAACAATACAATGTCTTGTAACAATACAATGACTTGTAACAATACAATGTCTTGTAACAATACAATGTCTTGTAACAATACAATGACTTGTAACAATACAATGACTTGTAACAATACACTGACTTGTAACAATACAATGTCTTGTAACAAATCGATGCCTTAGAACAGCATTGTGCTTCGAAATAACCCAATGCATTGTAACAACCGAATGTCTAGTAACAACCCAATGCCTTGTAACAGCATTATGCCTTGTAATAACCCAAATGCCTTGAAACAACATAATGCCCTGTAACAATCTACTCCACTCTGCATCTATGATAGTTGGTGAGAACTTATTTTGAATTGTCTAATGACGTCTTTTCCGCAAAGATTGACTAGTAAATTTTCATAGTCCTCTAAGAGACGAAGTTTGATCTATGTAAACGGACGTGTCTTTATTCGAGTCACGTCATTCAGATAGTTACACAATCTCGATATTTTCACAATCATTGTTTTTCTTTAATTGACAGAATGGATGAGATCCAAAGGATTATAAAGAGCACAAGAGTTGCATGCTGGGATTCTCCCCAAACAACGACCTTGGCCTGTCGAGGCTCTCCTGGCAGCGACTGTGAAGCTGGTACGGAATTTGATGCTGGTGCTGCATCGAATGCTGCTGGTGCATCTGTTGAGATGGTTGTTGGTGGAGGAGCTGATGATGATGGTGGTGTTGCTGACTGACATGTTGCTGCTGGTGGTGGTGCAGGTGCTGGCCGGGGTAGCCGCTGCTCTGCTGCTGAACGTGTTGGTGGTAGTAGCCAGCCCCGGCCGGCATGTCGTTGCGGGCCATCGTCACGGTCGGGCACGGCAGCGGGTGCTCGGGGAGCCTCCTGCGACGCCCACCCCTCCCCCTGCGCCGACCTCTCCTGTCGCACACTCCCGTGTCCTTGACGAGCCGGATCTCGGCCCCTGTCGCCTTGAGCGTCGCGGCCAGCGCCGAGATGTAATGAATGGCCAGGCGCAGGGTGGCGATCTTGGAGAGTTTCTGGTGCTCGCTGAGGTTGGACTTGGGGACGACCTTGCGCAGCTCGTCGAACGCGTCGTTCAGCATGTGCATGCGTGTCCTCTCGCGCTCCGTGGCGCCTAGTCGGGATATCTCGTAGCATTTCGGTGGTTTCCGCCTGCCTGTCAGTGGGTCGATGCTGGATGATTCGTGGAGAAGGGACGAGAAGGCCACATGATTGTATCCGGGGTGACTGCCATCCATGTGATATGTTCTCGAGTATTGGGCCGAGGCATATACGGAAAACGGTGAACTGAAATCCATGAAAGACGATGGGAAAGATGAGATATCTGGACTGCTCACTACGTCACTGGCATGGCTGTCGCTGCTGCTGCTGCTGTTGTTGTTCTGAAGGGCGTGGTCGTACGACTTACTCTCAAACGCATCGCGTCTCTTGTTGTGATTTTCTGCACCGTTGTTGTTGTTGTTGTTCATGACGATCTCGCCCATACAGCTACGGCTGGGCCGCTGCTGACAGTGGCTCCACGCGTCAGGCATGTTCGTGTCACGTGTCGCTGACGGACAGTCCTGGTAAAAAGCACCGCTGTCCTCTAAAAAACTGGGACCGTTAAAACCGGTCCCGGGGCCCTGAGGGACAGCGGCGGTGACGTTTTCACTTTGGAGAAACTGATTCTGCACTTGTAACGTTTTACCTGGCACATCAGCGAAATTCACAATCATGACTTTGATGGCAAGAGGGACAACACTAGACTGTAATAAAAAGTCCTTGGTTGAAGTAGAAAGTTTGCTACGTCCAGTATAAAAGGCTTGATTGTTAAATGTCTGACCCTCGTAAATGCTCAACAAAAGATTTAATACTCTCTCAGGTGTTGAAAAGCTGAACTTTTGAAGGGGAAAATACCAAACTTTCTTTAATGTTTATTTCATTTACTTTATAAGTTCATTAATTTTCCACATATTTGTTCAAGTTTCAAGAAACAAAAACAAAATCCCAACACTAATTGGAATTGAAACAATCCAGTAATAAGAATATAACCGAATCCAACTCTGAAACCATTCGCCGATGAAAACATGTGCAGAACACGTGATCACTGCGTCTCAATCAAAAGACGACGCTAACTGATAGTCCCACACCCTGCAACGGAAATATCAGGAGTTTTTGTAAGACATTTCAGCGGGTTTAAGAATTTTAAGAGGGCCTCCGTGGGGAAACGAAGACGTGCGAGAAAAAGAAAAGGGGGCGAAATTTGAAAGAAAAAAAATAAGTTGATTGACAACTGTCGTGTCTCGTTCAAAGGGTATAGTCCCGCCCCCCATCCTTCACGTGCTCTTTAAACTACCTTGACTAAGCTCCACCCCCCACACATGTCTGGAACTCTTAAGGTTTGATGTCTGTTTACGAGGGCTGTGAGCGCCCTGCACACGACTGTGTGAGCAGATGGTCCCCTACCTGTTGGATTCATCCGCGACCAGGCGTACTCTGGGCGGGGCTAAGTTACATCAATAAAGTTTCAATGTTTTGTTCAGCAACTTCCATTAGGGAAAACTTGTAATGTTTCTATTAAATTTTACGGCAGAAGCCAAACATACTGGCTGAGAAAGACGACACAGAATTGGCAGAGAAAGACGACACAGAATTGGCAGAGAAAGACGACACAGAATTGGAAGAGAAAGACGACACAGAATTGGCAGAGAAAGACGACACAGAATTGGCAGAAAAAGACGACACAGAATTGGCAGAGAAAGACGACACAGAATTGGCAGAGAAAGACGACACAGAATTGGCAGAGACAGACGACACAGAATTGGCAGAGAAAGACGACACAGAATTGGCTGAGAAAGACGACACAGAATTGGCAGAGAAAGACGACACAGAAGTGGCAGAGAAAGACGACACAGAATTGGCAGAGAAAGACGACACAGAATTGGCAGAGAAAGACGACACAGAATTGGCAGAGAAAGACGACACAGAATTGGCAGAGAAAGACGACACAGAATTGGCAGAGAAAGACAGTGAGCAGGCAGAGAAATGGACAAAAAAACTGAGAAAAATGGAAAATAATATTACAGAGAATGGTTGCAGAGAAAGCCTAAGGGAGATGGCAGAGAAAGTCTGAGAAAGGTGGTAGAGAAAGTCTGAGAAAGGGGGCAGAGAAAGTCTGAGAAAGGTAGCAGAGAAAGTCCGAGAAAGTTGGTAGAGAAAGTCTGAGAAAGTTGGTAGAGAATGTCTGAGAAAGTTGGTGGAGAAAGTCCGAGAAAGTTGGTAGAGAAAATCTGAGAAAGTTGGTAGAGAAAGTCTGAGAAAGTTGGTGGAGAAAGTCTGAGAAAGTTGGCAGAGAAAGTCTGAGAAAGTTGGTAGAGAAAGTCTGAGAAAGTTGGTAGAGAAAGTATGAGAAAGTTGGTGGAGAAAGTCTGAGAACGTTGGCAGAGAAAGTGTGAGAAAGTTGGCACAGAAAGTCTGAGAAAGTTGGTAGAGAAAGTCTGAGAAAGTTGGTAGAGAAAGTCTGAGAAAGTTGGTGGAGAAAGTCTGATAAAGTTGGTGGAGAAAGTCCGAGAAAGTTGGTAGAGAAAGTCTGAGAAATTTGGTAGAGAAAGTCTGAGAAAGTTGATAGAGAAAGTCTGAGAAAGTTTGTAGAGAAAGTCTGAGAAAGTTGGCAGAGAAAGTGTGAGAAAGTTGGCACAGAAAGTCTGAGAAAGTTGGTAGAGAAAGTCTGAGAAAGTTGGTAGAGAAAGTCTGAGAAAGTTGGCAGAGAAAGTCTGAGAAAGTTGGTAGAGAAAGTCTGAGAAAGTTGGTAGAGAAAGTCTGAGAAAGTTGGTAGAGAAAGTCTGAGAAAGTTGGTAGAGAAAGTCTGAGAAAGTTGGTGGAGAAAGTCCGAGAAAGTTGGTAGAGAAAGTCCGAGAAAGTTGGTGGAGAAAGTCCGAGAAAGTTGGTAGAGAAAGTCTGAGAAAGTTGGTGGAGAAAGTCCGAGAAAGTTGGTAGAGAAAGTCTGAGAAAGTTGGTAGAGAAAGTCTGAGAAAGGTGGCAGAGAAAGTCAGAGAAAGTTGGTAGAGAAAGTCTGAGAAAGTTGGTAGAGAAAGTCTGAGAAAGTTGGTGGAGAAAGTCTGAGAAAGTTGGTGGAGAAAGTCTGAGAAAGTTGGTAGAGAATGTCTGAGAAAGTTGGCAGAGAAAGTCTGAGAAAGTTGGTAGAGAAAGTCTGAGAAAGGTGGTGGAGAAAGTCTGAGAAAGTTGGTGGAGAAAGTCTGAGAAAGTTGGTGGAGAAAGTGTGAGAAAGTTGGTGGAGAAAGTCTGAGAAAGTTGGTGGAGAATGTCTGAGAAAGTTGGTAGAGAAAGTCTGAGAAATTTGGTAGAGAAAGTCTGAGAAAGTTGATAGAGAAAGTCTGAGAAAGTTTGTAGAGAAAGTCAGAGAACGTTGGCAGAGAAAGTGTGAGAAAGTTGGCACAGAAAGTCTGAGAAAGTTGGTAGAGAAAGTCTGAGAAAGTTGGTAGAGAAAGTCTGAGAAAGTTGGCAGAGAAAGTCTGAGAAAGTTGGTAGAGAAAGTCTGAGAAAGTTGGTAGAGAAAATCTGAGAAAGGTGGCACAGACAGTCCGAGAAAGTTGGTAGAGAACGCCCGAGAAAGTGGCAAATAATGTTTTAGAAGGGTGGTAGAAGAAGTTCGAGAACGCTGACTAAGAAAAGTAGAATAAGATGACAGATAAAGACACCGAGAGAGAGAGGTGACAGATAAAGACACCGAGAGAAGTAAGATTGACACGTTATCTCGGATGTAAACTTTGTGACACGGTCATCTCACGAGGCGCTCGCGTTCCAAAATGAAACACGCGCCTCAGATTACTAGCAGCTTATTGACATGTGTTGACATGTGTTGACATGTGTGTTGTTGTCGGCGCTCCCCAGAGCCGGTGCTTCATCTGGCCTAATTGGAAAATTACTTCCACACGTCACACGCCGCTGAGAAAGTGGTATTGTTATTTTTGCAAACAGCACACCACAAACGTTCTTAAATCAATCTCAAATCAGCGGGATGGGGGGGGGGGGAGGGGGGAAGGAGAACTTCATTTAAACACACTTCGGTTGTTACCTTAGAAATTTACAACAGCGTTTCTCAAAAGTTTACCAATTGAACACCACAATAGGTGGTTTAAAAAAATAATAATTATGTATATATATATATATATATTTAGATATATTTATTTATGTTCAGTTCATAATATACATAGAATGGACCCTGAAGATATAAAATATAATGTCTCCCTCTGGCATGTTACACGTGGTCGTCTCTGGTTGAAAGAATACTTGTCCTTTTCGTTGCCGTGAAAGTTTTTAAAGATTTAAAAAAAAAAAATTTTTTAAAGACTTATGGCTACTGATAAATGGCATCGTTCGAACATATCCATGTGGCTACGAAGGAGCTGATGAAAACGGATGTGCCTACGAAGGAGCTGATGAGAACGGATGTGGCTAGGAAGGAGCTGATGAGAACGGATGTGGCTACGAAGGAGCTGATGAGAGCGGATGTGGCTACGAAGGAGCTGATGAGAACGGATGTGGCTACGAAGGAGCTGATGAGAACGGATGTGGCTAGGAAGGAGCTGATGAGAACGGATGTGGCTACGAAGGAGCTGATGAGAACGGATGTGGCTAGGAAGGAGCTGATGAGAACGGATGTGGCTAGGAAGGAGCTGATGAGAACGGATGTGGCTACGAAGGAGCTGATGAGAACGGATGTGGCTACGAAGGAGCTGATGAGAACTGAGTTGACGCACATTAAATGAAATGCCTTTTGGTTGTTTTGACATGGATGAATTAAAAAAAAAATATGGGTTGTTACTTCACGTATTTGCTAAATACTTTTAAGATGGCTGCGACATCTTTCTGAATGGGGATTTTCTTGCTATTTACTCTGTCTCACTCAGTTTGTGTACTGAGGACCTTGACCCTTGCGTATAGGAACTTCCATCGGGTTCCCAAATGGTACAAATCCCGCCAGTAAGTACGTCTACTGACGGGCAGTTCATAGGGCACCACGGTTGTGTATGTCTAGGGTGTTATTTCGTCTTCTCGCTTCACTTGGACTAACAACGAAAGCTGCAACAATTCTAGGGTTGTTGCCACTCGGGGTGGGCCAATATTTTTGCTTTTCTACGAAAAAAATTCTGATTCTGCCGTTGACTGAAAATGCCCACGCTCGATAACCCCCCCCCCCCCGAAAAAAAGGGAGCCCCCCTCCATGTGAGGGGGGGCCAAATTTTTTGCTTTTCTACAAAAAAAATTCTGTTTCTCCCGTTGACTGAAAAAGCCCCCCCCCGAAAACCCCCCCCCCCCCCCGAAAAAAAGGGAGCCCCCCTCCATGTGTCTTCAAATGAAAAAAAAAATCTAAAATAATTATTCATGCCATAACTTGTTAGACACGGGTCAACATTTCACCATGATTAGTTAGACGTTGGTCAACATTTCACCATATTTAGGAAAACGTTTGCCTACATTTCACCATTACAAGTTAGGCGTAGGCCTACATTTAACCATGATTAGTTAGACGTTGGTCTACACTTCACCATAACTTAAGATAAGGATATTAAGGAATGGCGGCTGGGGAGGATGGGGCTCACTGAAATTTGTTTTAAGCGCTTACTTGATTCTAGTACTGCGATACAGAGAGACGTACAATAGATCCACCCCAGCCCCTAGAATGTCCGGCCCGTTTGCTGTGTGAGCAGCACCCTGGCCGTCCAGGTGTTTCTGCTCTGATGCCGCCTCACTCGCATGGTCAATCGAGTGGAAGGGTGGGTGTGGCTGTCTCAGGGCTGGAATGCCCCCGGCGTGCCGCTTCGCGGCCCGACTGGAATAAAGA